GTAGAGCATCACAATCTATTAGACTATGTAGGGGAAACAAGTATAGGAAAAAAGAAAAAAAATATGATATTTACAAAAAGAACACTATATTTCAAGGCAAAATATAATCTTCATTCATTCAACAGATATTAATGCCCTGACTATTGCATGTTAGGCACTGAACTAAACCTGTGGATATGTCACTAAAGAAGACAAATATAGGCAAGATGCTCTTGTAATTAATAAAACACAAATTCATTTTAAAAAGATATACACACACCAAACTTTGTAGACTGAATAAATTATCTGTTTTTATGAGTTAGTTCCTATAAAGTGCTTAAAATTGTACCTGGCACATAGTAAGCATTCTGTATATGTTAGCCATTGTAATTATTATACGAAAGTCTATAGACAAAGATTTGTGCATATGGCCATTCAAATCCTTTAACATAGTGTCTATTGGAAATAACACATCTCTCCTAGAGTTTGGAACCACCACATGCACTTCTCTTCTTTGTTCACAGTTGATACAACTGGCAGTACAAACAGTCCCTGACTGATACATTCAATAGAAACTTGCAATTGGAATTTTGAATTTCAGTCTTTCCCCATTCTGTTGATAAGCAGTACTGTCCTCTCTCCTGATGTGGGGCAGTGGCAGCAAGCCACACCTCCCAGTCAGCCGTGCAACCACAAGGGTAAACAACTGATACTGTACACTACAGTATACTGTATTCAATAAATCACATGAGATATTCGATACTTTATTGTAAAATAGGCTTTGTAGTAGATGATTTTCCCCCAATTGTAGGCTAATGTAAGGTTCTGAGCACATTTAAGTTAGGCTAGGCTAAGCTATGATATTTAGTAGGTTAGGTGTACTGAATGTATATTCAGCTTAGGATATTTTCAACTTATGATGGGGTTATTGGGACATAACCCCATCGTAAGTTAAGGAGCATATATAATTACTTCGTTGAAAAGACAGTAATTAATGAGGTAAAGACTAGATTTTGCTTTGCACTTGAACTTTAACAACAGGATATTTTCTTCACAAATTGCATTTGCAGCTGATATTTCCAGAGCAAAAAGTGCTCGATCTTCCTACCATATTTAGTACGTGGAGAGGTCATGACAGGATAATTCCCTACCCTGCATATCCAAGAACTTGGAAATAAAACAAATGAGATAACATTATCTGCTGATAAATAAACTAATAAGAACTGTCATACATAATGGATAAAAATCAGCTGTTTCCAGAAGTCACTTTAAAAGACAAGATGTGTTACAAGGTTAGAAATCATTAAGCAGGCATTTGAGTTGAATGTGGAAAAAAAAACTGTAAATCAGTAGCAATAACACTGAAGACAAAACGTGTGGATAACAAGCAGGTAGTCTCCAAGGAGTTTGAAAAAGTGGACCCAAATGGTAAGAATTTTGCAGTGTTTTTCCATCTCTGTCCATGAGTGACCAACATCTCATCTGAGAGATGTCAGTAATGTGTCCTAGAGAAGGTGTTCCTTATTCTGAGACATAATGCCTGGCACAAGGTAGATATATAACAAATATTTGTTAAATAGCAATCCATCCCCTTTTATACTCAACTCCACCCAGGACCCTTACCATCATGAAATACTGGTGAACACAAGTACTCCAGTCAGCTGGAGAATCATTTACTCACTGTCAATTCTGAATTGGAAAATATGAGTATGAATATAAATATCACTTTACTATACATTTCGTGTAGGTTGGTCTTCCGGAGTCAGGTCAACTCTGGATGTCTGACAAATCCATTTTGTGAGGACTTATGTAAGCTGCCCTTTGACCTTTCTGTACCCACCTCTCTCATTGCAAGACTTATTTAGGAAGAAAAGATGTGCTTGTTAGAACAGAGGGGTGTTCATATGCATGCACACACATCATACCTTCATGTGGATATAATACAGTATTAATGTTGAAAAAGCCTGAAGGAATGGTCAATACTCACCACATAATGTAAGTTACTATGTAAGATAATTCTCTCCTTTGAGTTACAGAACTGAAAGATGTATCATTTCTCAAGTTATTTTGGGTTAGCTGGTTAGCTCAGTTGCTTAGAGCACAGCCTTGAAACACTAAGGTCAAGGTTTGCATCCCTGTACCAGCCAACCAGAAAAAAAGGAAATATTTTTTCTGTGTTTTGTTTAATGGTTCAGAACACAGGCTTTAGGGGCATAGACAGACCCAGGTTGGAATCTTGGTCTGGCCACTTGACTGGCTGTGTGCATATTAACCTCTGGGTTATATTTTCCCATTTCTGAAATGGAAATAACAACAGTGGCTTCATCACAGGATGAAGGGAGAATGAAATGAGACAGCTTCTTGTTAGTACAGTGCCCAGCAGATGCAATACATGATAGCTATTTCTATTATTAGCCCCTAAGGGAGCCCTCAGACTGTGGTTGATCTTTCCACTTTTCTAGAACTGCTGTGTACTTTTTGTTTCTATGATGGAGAGAATGAACCTTCTTTTCTAGACATGGTTGATTCCTCTTGTAAGGATATGGTGCTTCATAGCCATATGAAGGGGCTGGCGGGTTAGCTCAGCTGGTTAGAGCACAGCCTTGTTACACCAAGGTCAAGGGTTAAGATCCCCATACCAGCCAGCCACCAAAAAAAAGCAAACAAGCATAAAATGATATTAAAAACAACAACAACAACAACAACAAATAGCCAGTTCAGGGATATGCTTTGGTCATGGCACCTANTTAGTACAGTGCCCAGCAGATGCAATACATGACAGCTATTTCTATTATTAGCCCCTAAGGGAGCCCTCAGACTGTGGTTGATCTTTCCACTTTTCTAGAACTGCTGTGTACTTTTTGTTTCTATGATGGAGAGAATGAACCTTCTTTTCTAGACATGGTTGATTCCTCTTGTAAGGATATGGTGCTTCATAGCCATATGAAGGGGCTGGCGGGTTAGCTCAGCTGGTTAGAGCACAGCCTTGTAACACTAAGGTCAAGGTTTGGATCCCTGTACCAGCCTACCAGAAAAAAAGGAAATATTTTTTCTGTGTTTTGTTTAATGGTTCAGAACACAGGCTTTAGGGGCATAGACAGACCCAGGTTGGAATCTTGGTCTGGCCACTTGACTGGCTGTGTGCATATTAACCTCTGGGTTATATTTTCCCATTTCTGAAATGGAAATGACAACAGTGGCTTCATCACAGGATGAAGGGAGAATGAAATGAGACAGCTTCTTGTTAGTACAGTGCCCAGCAGATGCAATACATGATAGCTATTTCTATTATTAGCCCCTAAGGGAGCCCTCAGACTGTGGTTGATCTTTCCACTTTTCTAGAACTGCTGTGTACTTTTTGTTTCTATGATGGAGAGAATGAACCTTCTTTTCTAGACATGGTTGATTCCTCTTGTAAGGATATGGTGCTTCATAGCCATATGAAGGGGCTGGCGGGTTAGCTCAGCTGGTTAGAGCACAGCCTTGTTACACCAAGGTCAAGGGTTAAGATCCCCATACCAGCCAGCCACCAAAAAAAACCAAACAAGCATAAAATGATATTAAAAACAACAACAACAACAACAACAACAAATAGCCAGTTCAGGGATATGCTTTGGTCATGGCACCTATCTGGGTCCAGTGACTGTCGTTTGCTTGGGGAGAACTGGTGAACTTTATTCAAAAGACAGGATAATTTATTTTCTCAAGAAGGTGAGCTCCTTCATTGGGTCATTCACCATCCTCTTGCCAGTTAGCTGTGGATGACACACAGTGGTGTACTGGAGTTGGCTTATGTTGGATCACGAGAGCCCACTGTGAACATCTCTTCCAACTCCGCCTTCAGTGATGCCACACTGACATCTTGAAAGCAGCCATGGAAATGAGCAAACGCTACACATCTCCCTTTCTAGTCGGGCAGCAGAATAAAGATTTTTAAACTTGTTCCAGGAAAGAGCAAGCTGGAACAAGTATAAATTCATTTCCTTGTAGGGAGAGATGAAATGGTAACCACATACATGGAGCAGGCCACGAGGTAGGAGGACGAGCAGCAGAGAGCTAACATTTGCAGCCACTCTGCCAGGCACTGAGCAAGTATCACTAGCAGCTGGATGTTGCTGTTGGCAGAATCAGAATCCTATGTCTTGAAAACCTATCTTAAGGTGCTGTATCTTATTTCATTTTCTTTTTATTCTTCCTTAACATCATTATTGTCTTTTTTGAAAATGCCAGCTAAGCAAGGATAAAGCAAAGAGATGGTTGGCACTTTAAGGGCAGAAAAGCACAGCAACATATACTAATTCTGCTGAATATATCAGAGACTTATTAACATATTAGGAACTCAGCTTGATCTGTCCACTCTAAAACAAAAAGCTGAGATGAAGTGAAAACTAAAGAAGCTGGACATGCAGATTTCTGCACCCAGACATAGTACCCTATACACATGTCCCTCCATTTTGTGTTAGAACACCACTGATTTCCCTCTGAGGTCACCTACAGATGAGTTAATAAAGAACGGACTGAATTTGAGGATGGTAGTACAGGGGTATGGCAAAAGTAGCCAGACACACCCCTGCTGTCAAAGACCTTATCATTGGAAAGAAAAGAGGAACAATTCACTTGATTTAGTAATAACTCAGTACGCAGTGAACTACAGCTCATTGCAGCTGATATAATAACAGCTAACCTTCATGGAGGGCTTACTGTGTACCAGGTATTGTTCTAAGTGTTTTAAACATATATTAACTAATTTAATCTTCACAACAGCTCCATAAGATGATAGTTACTGTTCCCATTTTAAAGATGAGAAAAGTGAAGCACAGATAAGTAAACCAACCTGCCCAAAGTCACACAGCCAGTAAAAGGCAAAGCTGAGATTGATGGGGATTTTAGAGGGGAAATTGATTGACTGACTGATTGATTGATTGAATGAAGAGGAGAAGACAGAGAATTTGTTTTAAATATGTTGGATTTGAGATGACAGTCAGGTATCCAAGTGGTAATGAGAGGATTGGAGATGCAGGTCTGAAGTTGGTTCAGAAGACAGGAATTTACAAAAGTTATGGCAGAAGTCCTAAGAATGGTTGTGTTTTTGGAGAAAGAGAGGAGAGAGAGGAGCAGAGGACCCAACGCAGAAACTAGGAGGTTGCTTACTTTTTAGGAGCAGAGGGAAAAATAAATGCCCGCAAATGAAAAGAGAGAAGCTAGGCAGTGGAGTAAATATGGCTTCTATAATGAAATTCTTTACGAGGGCAGAGGTGGGCAAATTATAAAAATTAAATTTCACTAAGTTAGAATACCACCACACTGTACAGCACCTAGCCCCGTGTCTTACATTGGAGATAATAAACAGATGTTGGATGAATGAATGAACAAACTGTATTTCTAAGATACTAACTTACCTTATATATTTCCGGTTCTTGTGGAAAAATCACAAACTTTATGACTAAGTGTTTTTTCGAATTGTCTTTGGCAAATGTTAAAACTTCATCAAACATAATATCTGCTGCTGTATCCTTGTCTATGTTAATGCATCCAGTCCCAAGGGCAGGAAAGGATATGGAAGTTACATTTAGCTCAATACATTTTTCCAAACACTTCTTCACTGCATTTCTCAATATCTGTAGGAGAAATACAAATTTAAGATCAGACTTTGAGTTAAAAATAAGACTTCACTTTCCCCTTGAAGGGGAAGTGTCTATATTTTACAATGCCAACTTCCACTCTCCCTCAGTCACGTCCATGCTTCCTCAGCAGGCAGAGAGGTCTCACTCCATAGGGAACCCACGAGAGCTATCAGGTAGATGATGAAGAATGAAAGGGCTGAGGAACTGAAGTAACTGAGTGGCCCATTTTGTGCTATTCAGGACAGTGGGATTGTGATTCCTACCAGTTTATGTGGCCTTGCTCATCTCCCAAGTTCAGAGAGTCAACCATCAGTTTATCCCTACTCACCTGCCACTTCCAGGTCAACATACAGAGCTCTTGAAAGTTTAGAAAGGGGACAGAGATTAAAATAAGAAAGCATTTATTCAATGTCATTAAGATCTATCATATAAGTTCTCCTGGAGAAGTTCTAATATTTTTGGCAGACTTAAACTTCCATCAACTTTTCAACATCAAATTGAATACGAATATTGGAAGGATTTTTCTGTGGAAGGACCTTGGAAAACTGAGGGATAGAGAGTGACTGGAGGGCCAATTTGGGATTAGAGAGCTCTCTAGCCAAGAGAGGACAAGAAATGGTGAAGAAAAAAGACAAGGGCAGAGAAGGGGACTGACTTTCCTCTTTCCACATCTGAGTGGGTTCCCCCTGTTCTTTAATGCTTATATTTTATGTGCCTCAGGTGAAGAGTCAGCTAGAGAGCCAATCTCCACTGCAGGCACGAGTGGGAAGACACCACAGGTAACAGATTTGACTGGAATGGTGCTGGAAGGGAAATGCCAACTCATCCTGGGATTTAACACGTGGAAAGAAATATGGAGAAGCTGAATCCCCCACCTTCTTAGGAAAAGGCTTACAAGGTCTCTGGTGTAATGAGATGAACAGGTGTACAGACTGAGGGTGCTCTGATGTTTCTGTGCCCATTTGCAGTATACCCACTTGAAATAGACATACTGTATTAGTTCATTTCTGTTGCTTATAACAAAATACACGGAACTGGGTAATTTATAAAGGAAACAAAGTTTATCGCTTACAGTTTTGGAGGCTGGGAAGTCCAAAGTTCAGGGAACACATGTGGTGAGGGTCTTGGTGGTGGCGACAATGACCCAGGTTTCTCACATTGCAAGATGGTGGAAGCCGAGAGAGCAAACTTCTCATGTGCTATTCTCTTTTTAAATCCCTCAGAAACATGCCCATGACCACCATTTTTAATCCATTCACAAGGGCATGGTCCTACAATCTAATCATCACTTCAAGGCCCCACTTTTCGATTACCGTAATAGGACTTCCCACCCTCTTTATACTGTCACAGTGAGGACTAAGTTTTGGGGGGACATTCAACCCAAGGCACAGGGATTAGGTAACATTTTAAATTAAACTTCTTAAGATAAATTGTGGCAACTATACTTGTTCAGTATTTCAGGTATTTACAGGGGTACTTGACAATATTCCATAAATGTAATGAAACAATGCAAATTTAACAAAGACTGGATAGATTACGGAGCTACATAAAGATAAATTTATTTTGAACTTACCAGATGTTTAGGGTAGCTTGATTGCCACAATACATGGTATATATATTTACAGGGCAATTTAAATCCTTTCGTGACCAGTACCAACTGGGAACCTAGAAACAGCTTATAATTTTTGTCAAATTCTCTTTCCAATTCATCTCCTGCATGTCGTAGAATTGATTTTGACACAGGTCCAACTTTAAGACCAGGTGGGTTTACAGAATTAACAATTACATCTGTCTGAAAAGGGAAGAAATGACAAGATTCACTGTTAAATTCCTTCTTCTTAAGTGACTAATTTAAATCTTTATTTTCCTGAAGAGCTTTGAAAAAATCTTTTTGAAGATCCTAAATCCAAAAAAGTTCACTTAATAATGGGTAGAAATTTCCAAAGAGTGATCATTTGATTGCCATGAGCTATTTGTTCTATTCAGAAATTATATAAAGAAATGATATCATTTTTATTGCAAATATCTGCTAGCCCTGTGCTGGATTATACCACGCATATTTCTAGAATCTAAGCATTCCCTGTGATTTGTTTTAAGCTGTAGCAATATATGGTTTCATTCTCCACCATCACTTTTTGCTATTTCTGTGTGGGTTCTTTGTTTTGTTTTAAATAGACAGGAAATAAAATTTCTCAGGAAATTTCTACCTCCTAATGTTTTAAGGTAAGTAGTACATGGTTAAAGAAAGTCCAAATGAGACAAAAATGTCTTCAATGAAAATAGGCCTCCTCTTGGTGGGGTCCCAGATCCCCTATTTACCCACCCATCCTACAGGCAACCACTTTTACCAGTTCTTCATCTATCTTTTCAGAAATAGACTGTACATATACATGGGTTGTATTTTAAGTAATATCATCTCCTAATTAGCCCTTAGAACTGTGCTAAAGGAGGTTGTATCCTTCCTTCCCTCATGCCCAAATACCCCTGATCATCCGATGGCTTTGGCTCCCTTTAGGGGTAACTTAAGTATTTCTCATGGATGTTCATGAATGCTTCACTTTGAAAGTGCAATCAAAAATTGCAATTTTGGGGGCCGGCCCGGTGGCGCACTGCTACAGTATGCCGCTTGGGAAGTGCGGCGGCACTCCCGCCGAGGGTTCGGATCCCACATACAGACCGGCCACTCACTGGCTGAGCGAGGTGTGGGAGCAACACCGAGGGTTGCGATCCCGTTGCCGGTCCCGGTCCGGTACGGGCGCGACACTGAGGGTTGTGATCTGTTGCCGGTCACAAAAAAGGACAAAAAGGAAAAAAAAAAATTGCAATTTTGGGGCATTGGCACCCTTTAAAAATTTTAAGGCTTCTAATGTTGCTGGCATAAATACTATAAAATATTTTGTATTAGGTATAAATACAATAAAATTTCAGTTAAAGGGATAAGTTATTCAATTAGGATGTTTCCACTTTAATTTTAAATTGGTATATTAACAACTTCTCAAATAAATATTTCATTTCATGGGGTCCCCTCAATTTTCTCTCTAATTGTCTTATGGCAATAAGTGGTATTTTTACAGATGATTAAATCTATTTTGTTTTTGGCCACAGGAGAGTCAGAAGTATGACATCACTGATCCAGAAAAAAAAGAATATAGCTTTATATTCTTTCTCTCTCTCTGCTGCAATTCCTGCTCCCTGCAGGCCCATCTTCTTATTTATCATTAATTTGCTGAACACCTAGATGCATGCCCAGACCAGGCCCTGGAGCTACAGAGATGAACAAGCCATGATCCTCATCCTCAAGGTGTTCTCTGCCTAGCAGGGGAGCTGCACCAACTCAGAAACATCTAGGGTCACTGTTACCCTGACTCCCTACCCTCCCTGCCAGGCGATCCTCATCCTCAAGGTGTTCTCTGCCTAGCAGGGGAACTGCACCAACTCAGAAACATCTAGGGTCACTGTTACCCTGACTCCCTACCCTCCCTGCCAGGACACTCACCTTTGTGCCCAGTGAACCCCAGCTAAGTGCTAAGTCACACGCTGCACTCTCCACAGCCCCTGGCACAGAGATATACTCACAGAATGTGACTTACAGCTCCACCTGGATCTCCTGACTCTACTCAAGCCCATTATTATCTGTCTGTCAGTTCCTCTGTGTCTCTCTGATCAAGTTACTCTACCCAGAAAGCTTCCCCTCCTGCCAATTCATACCACCATAACTTGAGATCAGATTCAAAACTCACATCTTCTGAAGTAATCTTTCTTGGTCTACTATATTCCACTCATCACAAATTTACATACTCTTAAATAAAGTTTTGTTTACTATTAATAAGTTGCTTCAGAAATGTCGAGATGGTTTGTCTCCCCAGTGAGATTTTTCAAATAAAGAATCTTTTTTACATAAAAAGAATATAATGGATTTTAAGTTCCTTGGGATCAAAGATTGTTCTAATTCCTCATAAAGCCTAAGAATAATAGCAACAGCAATAATTATTACATTTTTAATGTGCCAAGCACTATTCTAAGCATTTTATGTGTATCGATTCCAGCTCTATAAAGTGCTATTATTATCCTTATTTTACAGATGAGGAAACTGAAGACCAAAAGACAAAGTTAACATACTTCAGGTCACCCAGTTAGCACATGGCAAATCTGGTATTCAAATTCAGATGGGCTAGCTCTGGAGACTATACTCTTAACCCTAACAAGATGCTTTCTACAGAGTGTTGCATAGTATATAGTCAAAACACTTAATAGGAAATTAACAATTCAGGGATCCTCTTTGGCAGTGCAAGAGAACAGAAACGAAGACTTACGTTCTGCATTTCAATGTGGCCCTGGACAATCTGGAGCATGAGGTTGTTCGTGACCCTAATACTGAAAGGATGGGTGGTGGCTTCTTGATTCATCCAGGATCCTAGTTTATTCTTCCCAAGGATGAGTTTTGAAGCCGTTTTAAAGGCAGCAACAGTAGGGTCCTCATTGCTCACCAGGTGAATTTCTTTCAAATTACTGGCCACTTGCTTCTCTTGGAAATAAGTCTTGATAGTGTTTACAATGGTCTGTGTACACAAATCCAGAGGGAATTGGAAAATCCCTGAGCTCACAGCTGGAATCGCTACTGTCTTAATGTTGTGGTCACGACCAACATAATTCAGAATACTTACAATGGCCTTTTGCAGCTTATGGATACATCCCTGTCTATCCCATTCCACCCACCGAGGCCCAACAGCATGGATAATCCACGTGCAGGGAAGCTTCCCTGCTTGCGTGACAGCTATCTCACCAACTGGTATTTTACCAAATTTGGCAACAAATCTTCTGCTCTCCTCTTGGATTTCAAGGCCACCAGCCTTCACCAGGGCCAGAGCCAGGCCTCCCCCATGTAGAAGTTCTTCATTGGCTGCATTCACCACAGCATCAACAGCATGTCTGGTGAGGTCATCCTTCCAGACAGATAACTCTAACTCAGGAGTCAGCATTGTACTGAAGACTCGCAGGGACTTGGTGTTACTTTCCAGGACTGGAGAGACCAGGGTAGAGATACAGCCAAACTTATTCTGGAGGACTTCACACAGCAGACTCTCATTATTTTTTAAAATTCTGAAGTCACTGTGATTAATGGGAATTTTCCAACTATAGTTTTCTCCAAGAGCATCAGTCCCTGGAATAGGAGAGAAGATTAAAAAATAAAGAAATGAGCCAGGGTTACTTTGAGACGGCTGTAATTCCACCTCATGCCAGGAGACTGCATTTTCCATGTGCAAAAGAGAGATGAACTTCCTCTAGCCCCCTTCCTGATTCTCCTTCTCACCTATCCATGTAACTACACCAAGGATATCCAAGAGTTTTCAACGTAGGGCACCTATAAAGTGCCTGGCATATAATAAATACTACATAAGTGATAGTTACTGTGATACAGATGATGAGAAAACTGTGTATAGGGGTTCATGAATATTTCTAATGTATGTAAAAATGGTCAGTTTGGGAAGACTCATGCTTTAGGCACACGTTTGGAAAGGACTAAATTATGAGTCAAAAATATGTGGAGGCTTTATTCATAACTTTTTTGCTTTTGTCAGTGTCTTAGTTTGGGGTCTTTTAGAAGCGACCTTGAGACAAAAATTTGTGTGTAAGTAGTTTATTTCAGAGGTGATCCTAGAAAACAGCAGGGACTCGGGGTGGGGAGAGTAGGATGGCAAAGTAAGACACAGGAAAGGAATAAAGGGTGTGTTCCTAAGGAAATGAAGCTCAACTCCACTGGTGGCCATGTGCCTCACAGTTATACCACTGGAGGGGTCATTATAGGAGCTAGGATATTTATCCAACTTCTATTGGTCATTGGTCAAAGCTGCTTCTTGGTGGGAAGGGGTGGGGAGAACATCGGACCAGCAAATGGGAGAGCACTGACAGTGTCTGCTACAGTAAATAATTCTTTATGATACTCTAGTTTCACGGCACAGTTTTGGTGGAATTAAACCTAATGAAAAATTTACTATATGTGGCAGTCAAAAAGATTGCTGCTCAGTTCCCCTTCAATTTGGTTATGAAATGAGTAATATGGTTAGCCGACAGCCTCTGGCTATTAGCCCCTCAGCCAAGGTAATGCTATTCTCAGTGTGGTCTCCATCAAGGGCTGAGCAAGGCTATTTATGGCCAATGTGGGACGCCTCTAGTGGGCAATCTCAGGCTGGCAGAGGCTCAGGTTTTCATTACAGTCTGACGGCTCCACCTGCCCAATCTGGTCTCCTCTCTTCACAGTGAACCTTTTGCACTCCTACTCCATCTCAGCTTCTGCTTCCTGGAGAACCTAACCTGTGACACTGTATTTCATGGAATCTAAGACATTGTTATTGTATACCTCTGAGAAAAGAAAAATGATGACAATTAAACTGTGGCACACCATCAACTGATGAGAGGTAGCCTTATTTTGGAGATGGTAAAATGTTAAAAGAAAGTGTGTATGATAAAATAAACAAAATGTTGTGATTATTTATATTTTACTTCAACTTCCATTTCTAATCTGAGCCCCCTAGAAAGAAGACCTCTGGTGGCCTCAATTACCAAAAAGAAGCAGCAAAAGAGTAGTCAGGCCTGAGCTTTGGTTGAAAATCTCAAATGGGCCACTCCTAGGATTAAGCAGGTACCATTTGGCTCTTACAGCTCTTGTTGAGCTAGGGGCAATGAGTTGGTCGCCCCTTCTAGCCAATTTCAGCTGTAGGGTTGTGGTCAGAAGGGTTTCACATCTTGTGGACAAAGGAACCATCAATGGATGCAGTAAGAGAACACACTGCTGGTGTCACAGGCCTCTGATGCATGTTCTGGGTCTCTGTGGTCATGCATCTGAGCACTCGAGGGAAAGATAATCTTCTGTATTCCCCTTTCTCCACTGTGGAAAGATCTGAGCAAAGATTTTCTGAAACAAGAATGAGAACGAGGTGATCCTACCTGATTTTTCATTGTAAGCTGCTGCTCCAGCACCCTGTAAAAAGTGAGAATGGCTTTTTAAAAAATTGAAGCTGAATGACTATAGATTACTGGTAACAAATACAACCTAATAAACCCAAAGCAACAGAAACCCTGCTCAAAATACTGGGTTTGGGGGAGGGGGGAGCACATGTGTTGTGGTCGTTTTTTATCTGCATGCCTGAAACACTTAAAATACCAAATGTTCTATCAAACACTGACCCTACTCCACTTCCCTAGAGGCCAATGCACTTCTAATTCAGGATGAGATGAAGGACTGGAGATAAACACTTGAAAAGGCCCAAAGGTCACAGACCAAAATGACCCAAAACTCTGGGCAGGATTGGGCAGGCTCCAATCCCCAAAGGCTTGTGGGGTTTCTCTCGACAGAATAGAAGGGATGGGGACATAAGCCTCATTAGCTGCATCTCCCATTCACCAGTAAGAACCCCTCTCAATTACCTATTTCATGACACAAGCCTTTACGTGGAATTTTTAGTTTTAGCAAATGAGGTGCCGTTCCCTATTCCCTTGTTTTCATTCCTTCCCCATCACCCTCCTTCCCCTATCCTGAGAAAGCAGAATTGCTGGATGAGTGGAGAGAATCAAAATGATACTGAAATGACATTAAAAAAAAAAAAAAAATCATCCATCCTCAAGTTGACTCTTGATTAGATTAGCATATTCTTGATTCCCCATTTCCCACATGGTGCAAGGAGAAAACTTTTATTGAGCTGTTAAAACCAAATGAGAATGTCAGGTGTAACTGAAGACCCCGGATTTCTTGCTGTTATAGGGAGAACTATTCAAGTTGTTCACGGTTCATGATGTATATAAATTTATGCTTTTTACCATAGAAAAGGCCATCCTCCAGGTCTCCGGAAGGTCTTTAAATGTTTATTCTCTCTTTTGCGTTTCCAAGCATAAACTGTAATTCCCAGATGTGGTGGCCTACTTCTAGAAATGAAGAAAGAATTCAATGAGAAGTGACCACAATCTTAGAGAATTTGGTATGAATATTTTGAAGGAGGACTAAACATAGGTTCTGACTTTGAGTAGTTTTTAATTTCATTGATGAAGATGTACACATTGTTTTGCTATTGTTACCATTTACCTTCTATTCTTTCCAGGAGAGGTTCCAGTTGAAACCATAATGGCAGTCCAGAGAAAGGAAAGAGCTCTATGAGCTGGAACAAGGAAAGCTTTCCAGAGAGGGTGAGACTAGAGCCAGGCCTTAAGGACAGGGCAGGTTTTTACATATTTAGAAGAGGAAGATGAAAACAAAGTGGTGAGATGGAGAGCAACATGTCAAACTGTCAAGCGACAGTGAGGAAAAGCCAGCCTGAGTGAGTGAAGACTCCTGCAGAGTGAAGAATGAGGAAAGTCTGTCTGCATCTGGGGGGGGTGGGCATGAATAAGTTTGTGATAAATATCTTGGACCTAATTAGACAGGGGAATATCTGTATAAAAATCAGAAACTGGGAAAAATTACATTTTGATGATTTTCCATCTAATAGGAATTAAAGACTGAATTTGTAGAAGAATGATGATAAAAATGCTTAAAGATACAGTTGCCCACACTTGTTGCTATCTTCAGGCCTCTGAAATGATTTCTAATGTCTTGCAATAGAAAAATTTTGCACAACCTCTACAGCATCAGAGCACTAGTATTCTTACGCATCCAGGAAAGCAGCAAGTCCAGTACAATCCGAAAATGCAAGGACAAGATGAATTTTTGCCTCCACGAGGGCACTGCTGTTTTCACAAAAGAAGGGAGAGTCCTGGGCCTGCTGTGGCCTCTGGTGGGCTTTTGCTAAGATGTTGTTGCACTTATTTCTGTCTTCAGACCAGGCTATAAAGGCCTAGGAACAGACGTGGCAGAGGGGCAGCACTCATTTAACCCCAGGGAAATTAGAAACAAGAAGCATATTCCCAAAACATTAAATTTCTTCCATTTTATAAACAACAGTAACAACAAAAGCCTTACCAACTTTCCATCACTGGTTCCTACTGTTTTTCCCGCTCTTCATGGACAAACCAAACTTCTAGAAAGAATAGTTGATTCTCCTCCTGTCCACCTGCCCACTCAGCCCCCTATAGCCTGGCTCCCCACCTCCTCCCCGCACACCTCTAAAACTGTTCATCAGTGTGTGTTCTCCATGTGGTCAACCCAATGGACTATCTTCTTCCTAGTCTTTACTTGATTCCTAATCTTTTACCCTTTTCTATAATATTTTACTCTTTGATTCCTGAAACTTTGCTTTCTTGGCTTCTCTTGGTTCTTTTGTTACCTCTCACTTTGCCTTTATAGGGTTTTCCCCTGGATTCACTTCCACCATCCACCCCTTACTTGTTCACCCCTTAATCATTTGCCCCTGGGTTCTGACAGGCACTTTTTATCTCATTTTACATACTCTCCAAGGGTCATCTCATCTACTCTCGTGGCTTCAACTCACCAACTGCAAATATGACTCCCATATCTGTATTTCCATGCTATGGCTCTCCTGAACCTTATTTTTCAACTCTACCTGGATGTCCCATAGTCCAATCAAACAGAGCCTCTGCAAAACTGGACTCCTTATCTCCTCATCCCCATTCCTGCTAAAATCCATGCTTTATCTCTTGGTTTCCACAGCTCAGTAAATGATACACCATTTATCCACTCGAATCAGAAATCTAGCAATTATCTTTGAATTTTCTCTTTTGTCCCATAACCAGTCCATCTCTGGGTCCTGACCACCCAAACCACTTTCAAATATGCCCCTATTCTCCTTGCCTAGTGATGCTGCCTCACTTCAGGGTCTCAGCACCTTTTGCCTGAGCTATGGCAATACATTCTTTTCAAAGATTTAAATGTATCTAATTTTACATTTCATTGTGTGAATAGGTGTTATATTTGCATGGTTCAAATTTAGAAAGTATAAAAGGCTCTCTCCGGTCCCCCTCACTAAATTCCCCTCCCAGAGGCAGTCAGTGCTTCTTCTGTATTTTTCGGAGACATTTTTTACAAAAAAGGTAACATCTCCTACACACTCTTCTACATCTTACCTTTCCTACTTTATACATCCTAGAGATCTTTCCATATTAGCACATATAGAGCTTCCTTGTGTTTTTGTTTTGTTCTGTTTACTGCTCACTGTATTCCATTGTATAGACACACTAAAGTTATTTAACTGCTAGTTCCTTATTTATGGACATTTAAGGAGTTCTTAATCATTTGTTATTATAAACAAGGCTGTAAAGAACAACTTTGTACATAGGTCACTTTGCACAGGGGCTAATATATCAATGGGACAAATGCTTAAAAGTGGATCAGCAGAACTGTAAAGTATATGCAGTAATAATTCCAACAGTACTGCCAAATTGCTCTCCATAAAGACTGACACATTTCCAGTTGGATCTTACCACCAAGTGCAAGAATCTTATCTCTGGACTTTCTGCCTCCATTCACCCCTGCTCGGACCCGTGCCCTCCACATCCTTGTCAGTACCATCTTTCCAAAATGCAAATCTGGCATGTCACTCTCCTGCCTCCCCTGATTACAACCCTTCAGTTTCTCCCCACTTGTCCTCAAGACCTTTCACCATCTAGACTTGTGCTGTCCCAGGTGGACCATGAGCTACACCGAGCTATTGAGCACTTGCATGTGGCCAATCTAAATTGAGATGTGATGTTAAGGGGAATGAAAACACTGGATCACAAAGACTTAGTATGACAAAAAGAATGTAAGATATCTCATTACATGCTTAAATGATTAAATTTTGGATATACTGAGTTAAATAACATATCACTAAAATTAATTTCAACTGCTCCCTTATACTAGGAATTTTAGAACTAACATATGACTCCCATTCTATTTCTATTGGACAGTACTGATCCAGGTCGGCCCTTCCTCTCTCATCTCCCTCACCCATCTCATCTCCTCCCAGGCCTTGGGTGCCCTCTGTGCTTCAGACCATAGGGGTCACTGTGCCTCAGAGGCTCCCACCCCTCCCGGAGCCCCCACCCCGCCATACACACTCATTAAGATTCTGCCTGATCTCATCTCCCTCACCCATCTCATCTCCTCCCAGGCCTTGGGTGCCCTCTGTGCTTCAGACCATAGGGGTCACTGTGCCTCTGAGGCTCCCACCCCTCCCGGAGCCCCCACCCCGCCATACACACTCATTAAGATTCTGCCTGACACTTACTTCCTCTTGGAAGCCTTGAAGAGATTTTGCTCCTGCGTTCACAGGTCCGCCTCCTGAGGTCAGGGACTGACCCTGTCTTCATTCCCCAGCAGGCAGGGCAGCAGGCGGTCAGTGGCCCGGGCCAGATCGAGCAGTGAAGGCAGAAAAACCCCAAGAGCCAGTGTAAAGGGTCGAGTTGGAGGGAGGAGACATGAAATAGGTCACAATACAGGTGAACAAATTCAATTTTCTTATAAAAAGTAGGTAAGTTTAACATGAATTCAGAATGTGAATTACATTTTAGCGGCAAACAATAGTAATAACAAAAATAACAGTCAGAAAGAGTCACAAACGCAGGAAACTTACTTTCTTTGCCTAGTCTATCGCCTCACGTGGGGAGGTCTGGCCCTGGGACCCCGGTCCTCGCCGCCCCGCCCTAGTCTGCAGGAGAGGGACCCCGAAACCCCAGAGTAGCCGCCTTCTCCAACGCCCACCGCCCGGGACAACGACTTGCTCACCCGGCGGAAGACGACAGCGCGGACGGCCGAGAGAGGCGGAGGGAGCGCTCTGCCGGGAACAGGGAGGGACCTCCGAGGAAGCGAAACTGAAACTTTGCGCCCCAGGCTGCGGGGCGGGCCGCGCCTTCACCCCGGTCCCGGCCCAGCTGCGTCCCGGAGTCCCGGCGCCAGACCGACGCGGACAGCCATGGCCTGCAGCCTCCCGCCGCCGTCCCCGCTCCTCGTGCGGGTGTCCGAGCCCGGCCCCCGGCTACACAGGAAGCTGGAAAGCTACTTCCAGAGCCCGCGGCTCTCGGGCGGCGGAGAGTGCACCGTCCGGCCCCTCGGCCTCGGCGCCCCGAACACCTTCCGGGTGGAATTCAGAGAAAGAGCAGGTGAGCCGCGGGCAGCAGGTGCGGGCCCGGGCGGCGGTGCCACGGCCGTCCCCGGGGCCCAGCGCCGCGGGTTTCCAGGCAGACGCAGTTCAAGCTGACAGAGAGCAGGAGGAAGCGTGGCACTGTCGGGGTGGGGGAGGGGACAGGAACCGAGGGCTCCTGCTGCCGAGAGACCCACTCACACCGACAGTGAGGACAGAGCCCCCGATCTGGTCTGACCGCACTTAATGCCGATTCTTTTCCTGACTGAGTCTCAGCCGTCATCTTCCAGCAGACGCCCGTCAGCCGCTGGCCTTGACATTTAGGCATTCCGTTTTTATGTTTTAAGTAACGATTCCGTTGATTTATTTTTGAGGATTACAAAAGTAATATATGCTATAGAAAAGAGAAGAAAGAAGAAAACCGAAGGAACTACCTGGAGACAAACAACGTGAGCATTTTGGTAGACTTCCTTCCAGCCTTTTTCTGTGATTGTCAACAAACGTGTATTTACAGATTTCTGAGTCTGCACTTTTGATTTCTGCTTTTTTTCATTTAACTGGGTAATGAGTATTATTCCATATTATTGAAATAGGAGACTGGGGACAGTTTCAGAAACATGACTTTTAATGACTGGACAATGTTTCACTACCGTTAAGCTTTGATTCCTACAGTAAAACTTAAACTGCTCACTTTAGAGTTCTGAATAGCTCCCCTGTACCCCCTATCCCCATCACCGACCCACCATTCCAGGACACAGGGAGCAGCCTTCCTGGGAAGGTTCTGGGGCTGGGTATAAATACGGGAATAAGAGAATTATTTGAAATCTGTCTCATTTCTGTGTGTGTATGTGTGTGTTTAATGTCTCCACTGAAGCTAAGGAGGGAGTGTTGAAAAAAGAAGAGCACCAAATTTTTGTTGACGAAAAACCCGTGACCATTTTTTTGCTGGAACCCACTGAAAACCCAGTAGAGAAGAAAACGAGACCCAGAATTTCTTCATTGACAAAGTCACAAACAGGAGCACAGTCTGATGAGAAGCATCCAAATGAAGGACATGTTCCTGACGATGTGGATTCCTGTGTCCAAAAGGCAAGTATTCGTTTTGTAATGTTGAACATGTTAATTATCCTGATTTGATCATCACACATTGTACACAGGTATGGATATTCAACTCTACCCCACAAATATGTATAATCCATTATTTTCAATAAAAGCAAATATCTTAAATAAAAAAAACAACAAAAAGCAAAAACAAGAAAACAAAAGGTGAGTATTGAAAGGAGGAGGTGGCTGTGTTCCTACAACTTCCTCTCTGATCACCACACCTTGTGCGTTATTGATCCACAAACCATGTGCTCCCCAGGTATGGGCCAGGCACTGTTTTAGGCACTGGGACAAAACAAAAGGTGAGTATTGAAAGGAGGAGGTGGCTGTGTTCCTACAACTTCCTCTCTGATCACCACACCTTGTGCATTATTGATCCACAAACCATGTGCTCCCCAGGTATGGGCCAGGCACTGTTTTAGGCACTGGGACCTAGGTGAACACAGTGGACAAGGCTCCTGTTCTCATGCAGCTTGTATTGGGGGTGGGGAGGTACACAGAAAGACAATAAACAAGTAAACAAAATAAATAAAACCATTTCAGAAAGTGAAGTGCATTTCAGAGAGAGTGATACTAAGAAGAAAGTAAAATGAGGTTTTGCCTCCCAGAGTGACAGGCCATGGTGAGCCAGAGGAAGATGGAGGTGGTGCTACTTCTGACCAGAAGACAAAAACAACTTCTCTGAGGATGATACATTTGGCTTGAGACTTAAATGATGAGAAGGAGCCAGCCATGTAAAGATTCATTCAAATAGATTTCCACTGCCTCTGTGTGCCAGGCACCGTTATAGGAGCTGGGGACACAGCCAGGAACATGGCAGACTCTGCCCTCAGGGACCTTACCTTCTAGTGAGGGAAACAGACAATAATAGTAAACAGATATGTAATAAAATGTCTACCAATGATAAGTGCTAGGAAGAAAAATAATGCATGGTAAATGATAGTGACAGAGCCACCATTTTAAATAGGATGTCAAGAACAACCTCTCAAATGAAGTGACCTCTGAGTAGAGAAATGAATGAAGTAAGGAAGCTACCCAGCGGATTCCTGGGGGAAGAACGTTCTTGGCAATGAGAAGCACAAGTGCAAAGTCCACAGACAGGCACTTATATCTTGAGCCCCAGAAGGTTCAAGGAAGCCAGTGTGGGAGAAAGGCAGTGAGCAATGTAGAGAGTGATAGGAAGTTGGAGAGGTGCTCAGAAGTCAGGTCTTTTGGGATATAGGTAGGGACTTTAGATTTTCACTTAAATGTTAGGGATTCGTCAGATGGTTTTGAGCCAGGGGAGTGAGGCGCTCTTATTTTTATTTCTAAAAGATCACTCTGCCTGCTGTGTGGAAAACCAAATGTTGGAAAGGGCTAGAGTGGAAGGTTAGAGCCCAGTTAGGAGGGGTCGCAGTGAGCCAGGTGGAAGATGAGAATAGCTTGAACTCTGGGTGGTCCTGATGGAGGTATGAGAAGTGGCTGGCTTCAGGAAACATTTTGAAGATCTAGAGGAAAGATGTTACATGCAGAGAAAAGAACGTGTGCAAAGACCTTGAGGGGGAACAAAACATTAGAAATTTTGCTTTTATATCACATTAAATTTGCCTCTGTCCTTTTTATCCTAATCTGCTGTGTCTGTCTTATATTTGAGCTTCTAAAAGCCAGGGTTTAGAAGGGCCCAGCAACTTTGCATGCAGTCAAGTGTTTAGTTTAAAAGAGAGAGAGAGAGAGGAGAAAAAACAGTAATAGGAAAAAAAACATCCTTATATTCCTATATTTATGACTCCCTTCCAGGCTCACAGACTCCTGTAAGGACCACAGCACCGAGAAAGCGGAAGTGCCTTCCTTCCACCCTAGTTCCCCAAGGTCAAACAGATTTTAGCAGCATGAGAACACAGATCTCTTGGTTTTTAAAAAATGTTCATGCCCAGGCTGTACTGCAGACCAGTTACATCAGCATCTCTGAGGATGTGCCTGGGCCTCAGTTTCTTTTTTTTCCACTTAACTCCCCGGGTGATTCTAATATGCAGACAGGACTGAGAACCTCTGGGCTGTAGCATCTAGGATTTGAGAGGAGTCACTCACTGCTAAGGGGAGACATAGTGGTTGTTTCTCTAGTCATCTCCTGAAGAGATGACTGTAGCCCTGCATGTCTGAGAGATTTTATTTGTTCCTGTTCCTTTTAAAATTTCAGATCTTTCTTACTGTAACAGCTGACCTGAACTGTAACCTGTTCTCCAAAGAGCAGAGGGCACACATAACTACTCTGTGCCCCAACGTCAAAAAAATGGAGGGTCACAATGGGATTGAGATGGTGTGTGGTGACTTCAAAGATATTGAAAAAATACATTGCTTCTTGAGTGAGCAGCTCCTGGAAAATGAGCAGAGGCGTGAATCTTTTCCTCCAACAACAGAGAGGAATCCACTTAGTCTGCAGGACCAGAACGGCTACATTTCTCCTTCCAAACCAAAAACCAGGCCAGAAGAGGAAAACAACCATTTTGAAGTCCCCTTGCCTTTCTTTGAATACTTCAAACATACCTGTCCTGATAAAATAGACTCAATAGAGAAAAGATTTGATATAAATATCAAAATCCAAACGAGTTCTCTACATACAGTCAGTTTAGACTTCATCGCAAATCAGTCAGGTGACATAGAAGCAGCTGGTGAGTATTTTGTCAGTGAATTTCAGAAGAACACAGAACCTCTGAAGCAAGAATGTGTCCTTTTACCAGACAGTAAGCAGACAAATAAAATCAAAAAGGAATTGAATCGCCAATTTACAAAGCTCCTTATAAAGGAGAAAGGAAGAGAATTGATTCTCCTTGGGACCCAAGATGACATTTCAGCTGCCAAGCAAAAAATCTCTGAAAGTCTTGTCAAGGCACCTGTGAAAATATTGGCTTCTAGTCACATGATGAATGGAATTGATATTGACACTGCTTGCTATAAGCTTTTAGAAGCTGAATTACTCCAGGAAGCATCAGAGATAGACAAAAAGTACGACACTCGCAGTAACGTTTTGGAGAAAAATCAGAAAACCCACATTCTGTTCAAACCTAAGGACAAGCATGTAGATCTGTCTGTGCATGCTTGTGCATGTTTCATTGATGCCTTTCAACATTTCTCATGTCAGCTGACGAGAGAAGTTCTTTTACTGAAAACTTTGCACAAGGAGAAAAAGCACTTCCATGGGACCAAGTTTGCCGATGACTTTAGAAAAAAGCATCCAAATATACACTTTGTGGTAAATAAAGAGTCAATGACTTTGACTGGTTTGCCAAATCACCTTGCAGAGGCAAAACAGTATATCTTAAAAAGAGCGGGACTGTCTCTGCTGGCTGGAGAGAAATCGAATGAGGATCCTGAAACACCCGTGGACATTGATGGTAATGATTCAAAAGTGGCTTCCCCTCCATTCAAGGGCTCTGCCAGTTCGGAGAACTCAGAAGTGGACAAGAATGAAAAGGTCATCTGTGTCATCTGTATGGACACCATTAGTAATAAACAAGTTTTACCAAAATGCAAGCACGAATTCTGTAGCCCTTGTATCAACATAGCCATGTCGTACAAGCCAATCTGTCCTGTGTGTCAGACTTCCTACGGTCCCCAAAAAGGGAATCAGCCAGATGGAACCATGAATTACAGTTTTTCAAGAACCTCACTTCCAGGTTATGAATCCTGTGGCTCCATTGTGATTACATATTTTATGAGAGGAGGCATACAAACGGTAAGTGTTTATGAGGTTCACGGGTTTCTTTCCACTATGCTAGAATTACCAGAGCAAAAGAGACTGTTTGATACCTATTAGACTGGATTTCCCAGGGAGTTATTTCCATGGTCATTTGCAAGAGATTGAAATAGTGATAGAAGTCACAGCATTTGCTTATAATTTAGGTATCTTTTGTATTTATTTCTTAAGGCAGAGAAAGGGTAGGTGGAGATTATGTGTTAGGGTGGAGAGAGTCAGGAAGGTGGATAGTGTTCCCAGCATGAATTTGAAAAAAGAGGAGAAATGTGAATTGTTGACACTTTTCTTGCTTTTAATTTGCTCTATCTACAAATGAACACACCTATATATACAGTAAACTTTAGACAGGGGACTGTTTTCACATGACATTTTCTTCTCTTCATTCAGGAAGAGCACCCAAACCCAGGAAAGAGTTATCCTGGAACTCATCGAACTGCATACTTGCCTGATAATGACGAAGGAAAAGAGATTTTGGGACTTCTTCGTAAGGCCTTTAACCAAAGGCTGATTTTCACAGTGGGGGAATCTCGAGCATTAGGAATCTCAGATGTCATTACATGGAATGATATCCACCACAAAACATCCCAATATGGAGGACCAGAAAAGTGAGAGCCTTTTGAAATATAATGGTTGCTAAACAGAGTGTAGAGATTATAAAATATGGCAATTTGAGGATGTGGATATAAGGAGACTTTATAGCAGTGGTATTGGGTATAGTAAAGTATTTTGAGAGATGCTAATCGGTGATGATGACCTCAAAGACAGAAAGATTGGTCCCCATAACCTTCTACCCTGCTAACCACAGAGTGATTATTTTGCATCAAAGGGCAAGGGGTTTCAGAATCCAAGATGAATGATATTCTAAGTTGATTTAATTTGGACCATCATATCTATCTGAAGGGTATATCCTAGGAACCTTATTTACTTTGCTTTCTCTTAAGGTCACCTTTCTTTCTTACCTCTATCCCCATCAGTCTACAGAGAACCTGAACTCATTTGACCAAAAGCACTCTAGAAAAAGTCTAAGTTGTAAGGGCACTAATGGTGGTTGAAGCTGAGTTACAGGAATTCCAGTTGTTCTTTATTTAAGGTCACCTTTCTTTCTTACCTCTATCCCCATCAGTCTACAGAGAACCTGAACTCATTTGACCAAAAGCACTCTAGAAAAAGTCTTAAGTTGTAAGGGCACTAATGGTGGTTGAAGCTGAGTTACAGGAATTCCAGTTGTTCTTTATGAAACTCAAATAGAATACCTCAGACCCTTGGTATTCAAAAAGAGAAGCACTCTGAGACCTTTTCAAATCCCCAAATTTGAAAGTCCTACTAGCATGTGATTACAATTCCCTTCCCCATAAAATACAGCATATTATTATAACTTTATGATAGTCACTACTTACAATATACTGAGAATTTAAAAAGCCTGGTTGTAAGGCAGATGTTAGTCAGACAGCGAGGCTCACTCACTAGCTGAATGACTCACATTGCACATTTAATAGTGATTATAAGTTATCCACCTTCAAGATTACCTGTGAATGTTTGCTACAGTGAATATTAAATCCTCAGATGCCAAGTATCTATTGTACAGATTGGAACCGTTTGTGATGAAGCTAAAGGAATTTTTTTTTTCTGCAGATATGGCTACCCTGATCCTGATTACCTGAAACGTGTCAAAGGGGAGCTGAAAGCTAAAGGAATTGAGTAAGAAAACTGCTGGAAGGATATCTCAACCCAAGCTTTCAAAAGATGTATTTTAGGAGGCTGAGTTAATGCTAATCCTTATGTAGAAACACCTTTTAAATTTTTTCATCTCAAGAAGTAGTTTGTATACAAGTAAGAACTGGCTGGCCTCATTTCTGGAGTAATACTTTTTTATGGAAGACAAAAACCCCAAAGATCTGTGTGCGGAGGTGTGCAAGGATTTTGCTGCAGAGGTGTCATGTCTCATTCTTGTGTCATCGTTGGAGTTAGGGGTGGGTCTGAAGTCATCTGTGTTTTTCAGTTGGACCACCAGTTGCCAATTGATCTTTTCAGTGCCATCTCTGGAGTGGTCCTTTAGTTTTTTGTTTGTTTATTTTTCCCTTTAATTCCTACCTGTGAAAGTGAAATACTAGCATAAATATATATTTTAAAAAAGGTTTGGATATGGAAAATTAGGGACCCGTATTCCCCCTCCCTTTCCCATGGCAAGAAAGTAGCCAGGAGCAGAGACTGGGCAATTTTGGGTAATAAATGGAATAAGGCTATTATTTCTAATGACACAGAGCTTGGTATACAGTTGATACGTAATAGATTTTTGTTGCCTGACTCAGGGATATATGCTGCCTAAATCTTTGGCAGAGGCAGGATATGGAAGCCATTTCTGGAATCCTCACCACTGATTTACAAAACTCAGTTTCCAACTCTAGAACACTTGGTGTCTGAACTCTGACCAAGCCTGTAACCTGAGCCTTGCTGCCCCCCTGCTCCAGGTTACAACCTTTCCCATGAGGTATACTTGCCCTGCTACATGTTTCTGAACATTTTTTCCCCTGGATATTATTGTACTTTTGAATATTCCCCACTTCCAGTTTTAACAAATAAATTACTTTACTTTCCATCTATCATTTTATGGTAACTGTTGTTTCCACTATGGAAGTTCTTCATTCCTTTATTAAGTCCCACCAATTCATGTTTTCTCCCTTAAACTCTTTCTCCCTGATACTCTCTCTGGACAGAAATGAGGCAAGAGTTGAACCTACTGTAAGGAATATATGACATGTCAAATTTTTCTTTTATTTTGGTGGCTGGCCCATACGAGGATCCTAACCCTCAACCTGGGTGTTATAAGACCACACTCTAACCAACTGAGCTAACCAGCCAGTTCCAAATTTTACTTTGAAATGGTTCTTCAAGTCGGAAGAATGCTATAATAGCAAATTATCTGGTTATCCATGTCCCAGCCTCTCCAAAAACAGTGAATGATATATCTTCTTCTTTTCCTAAAGAGATACATACATTCACATATAAATTTTTTTTTGGTCAGATAATAATAGCTAAAATTTAATGAGTACTTATTTTGCCTCCTTTGTAAGAGCTTTACATCTATGTGATTGATACAATTAGTATCCCCATTTTATAAGTAAGAAAACTGATGCACAGAGAGGATAAGTAACTTGCCAAAGGTCACCGCATTGGTAAGTGGAAGTGCTGGGATTTGAACCTAGTAGTTGGGATCTAGGGCTTCTGCACCCCCAAGTCGTACTGTCTCCTACAGGGGCACTTCTCCATGGAGCAGGCTAAGGAGTTCCCTTTATTCTAGGCTTCTCTCAGAAATAGATTCCTGTACAGTGCTCAAAGCAAATTTCATTTGAGGAAGTCCTATTTGAAGAACTTAAAAACCCAAAATCTTTTCCTTTGTCTAGAGAACTGAGGAAGCTTAAGCAACATGATATGTCTCTTTTTTAAAAAACTCAGATTATACATTTAGTTTTTTAGTGATTCATTAAATTCTCTATAATATGATTAATTGGTTGTTTTCTATCTAATAATCTTTTAGTTAAATTTGCTCCAAAGAAGCAAAAGTTTTATTTCTACTAAGTTCTGGATCCCAGATTGCAACGTGTGCATATGCAAGTTTCATGATATGAGTGGTGATGAGCATTTAGATTACTGCCTTTGCTCTTTGGCAGGTGTTATCATATGTATCTGCTTTAAATAAAGTTAAATCCGTATTTGGAACAGACTGTGTTCTTTCCCTCACTCCTTTTTTCTTTTTCCTTAAAAAAGAAAATGGGTAATTGAACAGAATTTAGTAAAGGAATTACCTACACGGGTGTGGGCAAAGGGTTAAGGGAAACCAGTAAGAGCTGATGAAGTAGCCCCACCCTCCCCTTACCATGTAGGCTGGAGGGGCAAGGGAGAGGGCATCTACTGAACCTGATAAGAGCTTCACATTTTATGTTTCATACAACACATAAAGTATACAATGGTATGTCGATTTTGTGTGTAGCTGTTTGCTAAAGATTTTCACAATAGGGCCGGCCCGGTGGCGCACTGCGCTAGTGCGCCGCTTGGGAAGCGCGGCTGCGCTCCCGCCAAGGGTTCGGATCCCACATACAGACCGGTTCCCGCTCACTGGCTGAGCGAGGCGTGGGGGCAACACCGAGGGTTGCGATCCCGTTACCGGTTGCCGGTCCCGGTCCGGTACGGGGGCGACACTGAGGGTTGCAATCCGTGGCCGGACATGGAAAAAGACAAAAAAAAAAAAAAGATTTTCACAATAGAATTTAACTACTATTGACTTCACTTCTGCCAATTTGGACTATGAAAATCACACTTCTCAATATTTTTCCTTCTTAACGCATAGAAAGATAAAAGCAGCCTGCAGGTTTCACCTCTTCTCTCCTAGAGAAAGCATATGCAATACCCTATCAAACTATACTTGCCCCGTCCTTCCTGGTAGAATTTCTGCTTCAACTTTCCAGCATCAGTGCTGAATTACCCAGATAGCTCATTGAGCACCAGCAGCAAATCAGGGGCACCCTCCTCTCCAAAGAAAATTAAAAAATAATACGGAGTAGTTGATGTTTCCCTAGAAATAGAATTAAAGAAGTCATTAGGAGAAAACTCGGACCTTTGTTGGACTTCCTTACACTGATCTTAATAGTTTAGTACTGTTCTTGCTTTGATTTCCATGTGAGAGCTACTATTTCCTTTTTTATTGGTTGGGTCTAAAACGCAGAGCCTGAGGCAAAGATTAAGATACTAAGAATTTGGGGGTGCAAGCGCAAGACAAACAAGGGAGCGAGGTAAAGTAACATGTGATGCAATGCCATGGGTTAGCACCCTGCTCCTGCTTCACAGGAGCCTGCTGCTGCTGGGCTGGGAACCTCAATTTTTAAGAACTCCTGGCCTAGAAAATAAAGTGTAAACTCTGCAGCATGGCCATCAGGTATTTCTCATTCTACTTTGCTTACTTCAATCCTCACGGCCAAGTCCAGAGGGCTAAGTCTGCACCACAGTACCAGTGTTTCCAAAGCAGCCTATGCCTTCATGCCTCTGGCCTTCGCTCTGTATTCTCTCTCTCTCTCTCTCTCTCTGGAATGCTCCTCACCTCATTCTCCTCTTAGAAATTCCCTAACTCATCATTCAAATTCTCACTCAAATGCCACTACCTCTCGAATGCTCCTCCCCTCATTCTCCTCTTAGAAATTCCCTAACTCATCATTCAAATTCTCACTCAAATGCCACTACTATAGGAACTTCTGTCCAATCTTGTCTTCAAATTACAATGAATCACTTCTTTCCGCATTATCCTAATATTCTTACATATCTCTTAATGCAGATGCACTATCAAAATCCACTTACCCTCCTCTCTGCCTTGGGGGTGGTACTGGGGGCTGACCTCTAATTACTGCATGGACTACATTCTCTGATTGCTGATTGGGTTCAGCAATGGGAGGTACCAACAAGCCGTTGGAGGGTAGTGGGGCAGAGGGGTGGGGCAGTGGTTAGGGCACTCATTTCCCTGGCTGTCTCCAGAAAGCAGGCATGGTTCCTGCCAGGTGGCTCTCTCCTATAGGTAAAGCTCTTACCAGGTTCAGTAGATGCCCTCTCCCTTGCCCCTTCAGCCTAGATGGTAAGGAGTGGGTGGGGTGTAAAGCTACAAGACTATGGTAGTTGTCAAATTGGGGAAATCCTAACTAAAGCCAAAATGTTTCATTATTTTAGTTATACTAAAATTTCTATTTGTATTGTCAGGGCTAGGGCTCAGACCCTTCAAACCCATTGTACAGACTGGGTTCCCAGACCCCTCACATGCCCGGCTGGGTCACCAGATCCCTCACACGCAGGTCCACACTAGGTAATTGGGGAAAAATCCTGCGAGCCGTTGGCAGACGACACTAGCTCAGTCCTCAGCAGCTGCAGCTGCTGCTTACAGCAGCCACCAGCAGCAGCAGCGGCCCACCCGGGGGCATCCCGGGGGGTGGGGCGCCCCAGTGGATCTGAGCCATGCGTCCTTTATGCTTAAGTACATAACCCAGGATACCTGGGTGCACATGCCCAATTATATTAGACAATAACCATGGAACACCTGGGCCCGTGTGCATATTTACACCCAATGCTCAGCAAGATTCTGATCATCTGAGGGGACTGACCATTTTCCTATATTTTCCCAACGTGGGGCTACTTCATCAGCAATTACTGGTTTCCCTTAACCCTTTGCCCACACTTGTGTAGGTAGTTCCTTTCTTAAGTTACGTTCGATTACCCATTTTGAGTATACCATCTTATCCTGCCAGGACATTTCATGATGCAGCAGGAAAGTGTGTATTAATCTGGGTTTTGTTTCTCCTTCCGCTTTCTTCCACCCTCATCCCAGAGAGAAGGGATCTGTGTCTAATTAATCTTTATAATCTTAAAATAACGTGAGACATATCAAGGGTCTTCAATACATGCTGGTTGAATTAAATGAAATAATGCCTTGTCAGGCCAGAGAGAAAACTGATTCCAGCCCTGTATTAGTGAACACAGAAATGGACCCAGTGTATTCTTTTGAAGATGGGTATGCAGGGAACGTGGCGTGGAGTGAAAGAATGGGATGCCCTGAAGAAAAGAGAATTAATAATTGATCTTTGTTTTTTAATGTGCCAGGCACACTACAGACTTTACCTCATTTAATCCTCATGATAATACCATGAAGTTGTTATGGCTGTGCCCATTTTACAGATGCGATTGACTGAGGTTACCCAAATAATGAATTACAGAGCCTGGGATTTTGACCCAGAATTTGTCAGACAGCAACGTCTGTCCCAAAAGTGTGACACAATTCTCAGGCAGCTGCTTGCAACCTGAAGCAGAATTGGTCTTCACAGAAAAGAAAGCGAAAGAAGTTCAAGGGACAAGTCTGTTGGGTGGGGCAGACCCTGCCGTCAGGTCGAACCAGCGGAGCTGAGGATGAGTGCGCCCCAGCTCCCTCCCCTCGCTGGTGGTCTGAGTCCTGGGGCCTCGCCTCTTGAAAACTTGCACACTGAGCGCGTCCGGCTTCCCGGTGCTCTTCCTCGGGAGGATGGTGAGGCGGGGAAGGGGCGGGGGCGGC